GGTTTTGGTGACACAATAAAGCACCATTTTTAATCACTTTACAGTTTTAGTTTTTTTTTTTTAATTTTTTTCCTTTATTGATTTTAGAGAGAGGAAGTGTGATGGAGAGAGAGATAAAAACATTAATGAGAGAGAACATCAATTAGCTGCCTCCTGCATTGGGGATTGGGCTTACAACTTGGGCTGGTGTTCTGACCAAATCGAACCAGTGACCTCTTGGTGCATGGGTCGGTGCTCAACCACTGAGCCATACCGGCTGGACTCACTTTACAGTTTTAAAACTTGAACAATGAAGTAAGAATTGAAAAGGATGTGTTGCATGGCTGCTTGGAACATCTCTGAAATTACCATATTTGGAAGGGATAAATGACAGAAAAAGGTGACTTGAATGTGAGCTGGGTACTTGCTCCTCTGTTTGGCTTTTTGCCACTGCTGTGAGACCTGTCTAAAATAGACTCTGTCAAGCCCTGGCCGGTTTGGCTCAGCGGTTAGAGCGTCGGCCTGTGGTCCGGAGAGACCTGGGTTCGGTTCCCGCTAAAATAGACTCTGTCAAAATCAAAATCAGATGTCATGTTAATCTCACTAACATTCTCTGGTCCCCTTCCTACCCTAATGAACTTTCAGTGTACTAGTTCCAGATCGCTTCCAAGTATTTGTAATGACTTAGGACCCATTTATTCAGTCATCAGAAATTGATGTTTTCTCAGTAATAAGAGGAACTCACAACCTGTTTGAAAGACAGATCATGATGTCTACTGATAATCTAATATGATGAGTAATGTTACAGGCCATGCACAGAGGTCATGTGCTTCCTCTTTGCATGAGATAGCCCATAGATGCATACAAAGAATCTACAGAGGTGCCAGGGACTACCTTATCTATTTATGTCCCTTTTATATTCTCTCTAGATCCTATAGGAGGTTTTGTTTTATTTTAATTCTTCATTATACATAGGAGGAAACTGAAGAGAAAAATGTGTTGTCATGCAAAGCATCCTTGTAACTTTTCATTTACATAGAAACTTACATTCCATGACTGCTAGTTATTTCTTTTGCAAACCATCATGAATGGTCAATAGATTCTAGTCTAGAAAATTTACTTAAAAAGCATCCTCTCTTGGTCAGGGTGACTCAGTGGATTGAGAGTCATCCCATGCACCAAGAGGTCGCTGGTTTGATTCCTGGTCAGGGCACATGCTAGGATTGCTGGCTCAATTCCCAGTACGTAGTGTGTAGGAGGCATCCAATCGATGTTTCTCTCTCTCCTTCTCTCTTCTCTCTCTAAAAAATCAGTAAAAACATATATTTTTTTTAAATGCACCCTCTTTCTGACTGTGACCTTCATAGATCTATACCATTGACCTTCAAAGATTGGTCTCAGTTACTGAGTGGTTATTGCCAGCACTGATTAATCATTACCCTTTGTAATGAGATTTCTTTAGCTTCTAGTCCCTACTTTTTTTTTTTTTTAATTTTTTTTTTCTTTTTTGTTCAGATAGAGTGAGAGTGAGAGAGAGAGAGAAACATCGACATGGAAGGGACACATTGAGTGGCTGCCACCCGCACGACCAACCAGAGCCGGGGACAAACTGCAACCGAAGTACGTGCCCTTAGCGGGAACCGAACCCGAGTCTCTCTGGACCGCAGGTCAACGCTCTAACCGCTGAGCCAAACCGGCCAGGGCTAGTCCCTACTTTTTTACTGTTCTACATTAAATACTAACCACAATCCAAATCTTCATCCTTCATTTCTTTGCCCTTCTGAATGCTGCCACTTAAAAATTTGTCGTTTAGCCCAGCTGGTGTGGCTCAGTGGATTGAGCATTGTCCCATGGACTGAGTGGTCCTGGTTCGATTCCCGGTGAGGGCACAAGCCGGAGTTGTGGGCTCAATCCCCAGTAGGGGATGATGCAGGAGGCAGCCAATCAATGTTTCTCTCTCACATCGATGTTTCTATCTCTTTCTCCCTTCCTCTCTCTATAAAAATACCAATAAATTTTTTTTTTAATTTTTTAGATTTGTCGTTGACATAAAAGCACAGGCTTCTACACTTAAAAGAGATTTTATTAGTTTAACACCATAATTGCATAAAGAAATGAAGTCTTAGATATGTGAAGTAACTTGTCCAAAGGTGTGTTAGTGGCAGAGTATGTACTCAAACCTAATTTGTAGGCTACTCTCCTGCTTACATATATGCTTTCCCAGGTCCTATCTTCTTACCAGAGCACAATACTATACCTCCTTACTATTTTCAGCCTCTGGTTTTTGGTGAAACTATAAAACTTTTCCCATTCTTCCAGATCTTTAGGATAAAGATGCCTAAATCTGTTTTTGCTCTGACCACTTAATGTAGTCCCTTGCCCACAGGACTTTTTTCCATTTGGATGTTCTAATTTCCAGTTCCAGACCTAAACTACCTACCACCTTCCTTCTCTAACTTCCTCCTCAGCTTATTTCCAATAGTGACAGCACCATTCTTTTGTAGACTCAGAACCTTGGTGGTAGTGGTGAATCAGTCCTTTCCTCTCTCCCTCTTCTTACCATCACCACACTAATACTCATTTTTCCTCCTCTAGTATCACATGTGTCCAGATTCTTTGCATTTTCTTTTTCTAGATGATTTCACTGCTTCTCTAGTCTTTTTTTTTTTTTTTTTTTAAATCCTCACCCGAGGATATTTTTCTTTTTTTTTTTTTTTTATCCTCACCCGAGGACATTTTTCGAGGACATTTTTCGATATTTTGTTCAGATAGAGTGAGAGGGAAAGAGAGAGAGAGAGAAACATCGACGTGAAAGCGACACATCGAGTGGTTGCCACCCACACGACCCAACCAGGGCCGGGGACAAACTGCAACCAAGGTACGTGCCCTTAGCGGGAACCGAACCCCGGTCTCTCCGGACCGCAGGCCAACGCTCTAACCGCTGAGCCAAACCGGCCAGGGCTGGATATTTTTCCATTTTTTGTACAGATAGAGTGGGAGGGGGAGAGAGAGAGAAACATTGACGTGAAGGGACATAATCGAGTGGCTGCCACCCGCACGACCGACCAGGGCCGGGGACAAACTGCAACCGAGGTACGTGCCCTTAGTGGGAACCGAACCCGGGTCTCTCCAGACCGCAGGCCGGCGCTCTAACCGCTGAGCCAAACTGGCCAGGGCTGCTTCTCTAGTCTTTTGACCTCCCAAAAGTGACAGGTGTTTTGAGGCTGACTCTACCAATTACTAAGCAAACTTATGAACTGTCAAAGACTCAGTTAGTTGATCTATAAAGTGGGGTAGTAGCGATCTTAAAGTGTTGTGAAGATTAATTGAAATAGAATATAAACTTTCAATTATAAAGTCTAACCTATAGATAGATGCTCAGTAAATATTGTGGAATGAATAAATGTTAGTTCCCTTCATTTTATAGCCATAATGAGTATAAGTTTGAAGAAATTTTTTTTTTCTTAACTAAACTATAAAAAGAGTAGATGTTAAATACTTGAAGATTAAAAAAAAATGGTTGTTAGTATCTCCTTTTCTCTATGGTCACATCACACTAGGTGTAGAACTTTTTTGTTTTGGTTGGTCTATTTTTGTTTATAACAGTCTTGAAAGTATACAATTCCGTGTTTTTTTGTATATTCACATAGTTATGCAACCATTACCACTATCTAATTTTAGAACATTTTTATTATTCCAAAAAGAAACTCCATATGCATTATGTCACTCCCGTAAGTCCTGGCAACTACCTATTTTCTGTCTGTGTGAATTGGCCTGTTCTGGCCATTTTATACAAATGGAATAAAATAACATGTGGCCTTTTGTGTCCAGCTTCTTTCACTTAGCATAATGTTTTCAAGGTTCATTCATGTTTTAGCTTCATTTATTTTGGCTGAATAATATTTTGTTGTATGGGTAGGCCACATGTTGTTTACCTGTTCATAACTTTGTAGACTTTTGGGTTGTTTCCATTGGGGCTGTATGTATAAAGTTACTATGAACATTTGAGTACAAGATTTTTGTTGTTGTTTTTATTTTTTATCCTCACCTGAGGACATTTTTGCACTTATCTTCAGATAGAGCTGGAGGGAGAGAGAGAAACATCGATGTGAGAGACATCGATAAGCTGCCTCCTGCATGCTCCTACTAGAAATTGAACCTACAACCCAGGCATGTGCCCTGACTGGGAATCTAACCCGGACCTCCCAGTCCATGGGATGACGCTCAATCCACTGAGCCATGCCGGCCGGACTCAGTACAAATTTTTATGTGGATATATATTTTCAGTTCTTTGAATATATGCCTAGGAATAGAATTAGTGTAGAATCTTTAGTTGGTAAAGCAAATAATTTTCATTTCAAAGCGGAGAATTCATGGTGAGCGAACTAAAGGTTCTTATTTAAGGTGTTTCCTTCTATGTTGGTTCCTTAAAATTGAAATTCTTTGCACCGGACCTCACAGAGCACTGTTTTTCCCAGTCATGGAAACCAACAGAAAAGCAAGAGCCTGCAATCAGAAAGGATCAGAAGCAGTACAAATACCCCCACATAACAAATGATGCTTTTATAAGCATAGAGTAACAAAATAACCCCCAATTTCAGTGGTTTACTCTCAGAAAAACATTAATTTCATTCACTTTATATGAGGTTCACTGCAAGATCAGAAAGAGAGAACTCTCCTGAAGGGATGCAAATTAAGGAACAGTTGGATTAAGGCAAACACATTCACGAAAAGTATCCTATCCTCTGCTCTAGAGCATGAGCCTTTAGTGTGAGAGTAAGAACGTTTCTGTGTTCTCTCAGCCATCCACTATCCCAGCGCAAAGTGAACTGAAAGGGAAAGGGGGGTCTGGAACAGTTTACCAAATATTTCCATTCAGTTCAGGAGCAGGTTTCAAGTACTGCTTTTACCTTCATAGAAAGCCATGGCAAGGGTAAAAATGTCTTTGAAGTAGAGCTTGGCATTGATCATCATATGATCAGTCACACAGAGGACACTAATTACTCTCTTTTGTTTTTCAGTGAACGAGATAATTGGGAGAGACATGTCCCAGATATCTGTTTCCCAAGGAACAAGGGTAAACAGACAGGCTCCCCTCCCTGGTCCCGATTCCCTGGATTTAGGAAGATCTGATGAGCTCTGACAGTGCTCACTGCAACCTTGCATCCACCACCACCACCACCACCATGTATTTCTCAGTATGTTTCTCTCCTCGGACCTTGAGTTTCCAACATGCAGCCTTCAGGACTGGTGCCAGGAGTTGGGGTCACTGTGGGGAAGGCAGCATTACTCCACCTCATGCCTTGGGTAGATTTTGTAAAAGAACAGGAACAGCATAGACCCTGTTTGAGCTTTGGGGAAATGAGCTTTCCTTTTTATTTTTGAATAGGATACTTTTATATGATGGATGGGTGCTTTGAGTGTGAATGCAGCAGGGTCTTCATTTCAGAGGTGCTGCTTTTGCAGGTGGCCTGGTTGCTTAGCTAGGATTGGTGATTTGTATTGCTTTATGGTCATTTGAAGGACCCTTTAGCTTTAATGATATTTTAAAAATAGTAACTTTTGATAAAACCTTTCATAGGCAAACATTAAAGAAAAAGAAATTTCTCCCAAGCTCACACCTATGCCTCAGAAACTCAGCATGTGTCCTGAAACCTTTCATAGATTCATAGGAAATAAAGCCAAATGTAGCTCATACCTCCATAAAAGTAAACTGTTAGATAAAATGAGAAGAGACCATTCCAATCATTGAAGTGTTGGAATATTAAATGACATTCCAGAGCATAGCCTTTTTGTAAGTTTCTAGATAGTCTTTCTGCAGTCTCTCCATTCTGACTCCATGTTGAAATTGCTTTTTTCCTCCAGGGCCTTAGGTAAGATAGCTACTTATAAGGTAACTTTGAAAGGTGAGGTTTTAGCTTGGTAGCTTTAATTTCCTGGCATCCTACAAACAAGTGCTCTTCCCTTTTGTGTCTTTTTCCAAGGGGAAGCATTAGCGTTTGGCTGCTCTGTAACCTTTGAAGCCAGTCTCACGATGATTTAGGCAACTTTGCTGGTTCTAACTTATCTCTAGGGGCCAGGCTGTGTCAGGAGCTAAGCACAAATGAGCTACAGTTCAGAAGAAGAGCAGAGAAAATGTAAGACTCTAGGTAGGAAGCTTTTAAGATTCACACTTAGACCAAAGGCTTACCCCTCATTCTGTTTACAGCCTAAAATGATTCTGGCCTACTCTGTTCTCTCTGCACGGGCTAAAAACCAGCCTTTTCCCAAAAAGGCATTGAGGCAAATCCAAAAATGAGGTAGCATCATGGACCTGACCCTACAGACCAAAGATGTCCTGGTACTGCTGCAGGTGAGACTGGCGCACAAGGCAGGGCCAGCAAGAAACTCTAGCCTGCTGTCTACCAAAGGAGGTGCCCAACTTGGGTGCTTTTTTCAGTACCCACCCTTTCCCCTCCCATTAATGGAATACGTTACTTGGTCCAAGGCCTGGGCCTTTTTCAAAGCTCCTGAAATTTGCAGTGTTTTCATATGAAATAATGTACTTTCATTTATCAGAAAGCAAAATTTTTGAGTGCCTACTATGTGTGCTGGGCTAGTCAAAGGTTTGATGCTGTTATTTCAGAGGATTGTGGGTCCTAGATGCCAGGATTCTCTACTGAGGCCAAGTGAGCCCTGGGCAGAGGGAGTTGGCTCACTGCCCACCACCTGTAGTCACCCAGATAGGAGTGACCCTATTGACCCAGGGATGAGGAAGTATGGTCTCCCCCCCCCCCCCCTTCTTTAAACGATGTTTTAGATTTCTCCCTTAAAACTAGTTAAGAAGAATGTCTGTCCTTCAGCAAATCACTCGTCTCTCTTGGAGCTGGATGTTTTCATTGAAAGTGAGATTTGTGTCAGTGTGGATAGTGAGATTTTTCAGGGCTATAGTTGGAAGCCCACAGCTTCCTTTGGAAGTTTTGAGGGCCTTGCCAACAAGATGAAGTTCCAGAGAGCTGGCCAGACTTGCCCCCACCTTCTTGTCCCTGATATAACTGCCTCACATGGGTTTCTTGCAAGAGTTCCCATTGTAGGATCCCTTGGGGGTTGTCCTGCTGTCTTGAAGAATAAAAGCCTCTATGATCCAGAGTTGCTATGCACCAAATTTTGATGCCTTTTAAATACCTTGATGCCTGTAGCACTAGAAATGCTTTCCTATTTAAAATAAAAGTTTAATTTTAAAATACAGCTTTGTATACTATGTAAGCAGTTTTGTATTAGCTTTGTAAAAGCTTTGGTGTAAGAGTCAGTATTTTTTGGCCTTGTAGATAAAGACTTACATTTTTGTGCAACATAGTGATGTTAAAGCACACATCCAATGGACTATGCAAACTGAGTTCTCATAGCAGCACTGAGCAACTGGGTATGTACTAGCACCCACCCCTGTACCCCTCCAGCTCATGCGTGATCTTGGGTTAAGGAATGGGATGAGCAGCCTTCTGCTTACTGGAGATGCACAAAGAAACATGGCTGAAAACAGCCTTAAAATGAACAGCTGTCTCCAGGATCACATGTGGTGCTGCTGCCTGGGGTGCAGCCCACTGCTGCCCAGGGCTAGTCACTATCATCAGAGCTCTGCTGGGTCTGGCTATGAAGCTGTTTGTGATACTCAGAACAGATGATCATCTTTAAGGCTCACATGGGCTCAAATTGAAACCTTGTATTTCATAAAATGGATGATGTTCAGTTAAGGAACTGGTTTTCAGTTATTAACTGTTTACAGCACTCAGGATTGTGTTTTCTTGTACATTTTGTATTTTAAGACTTTTTATAGGAGTACAGTGCTCCTTACACAAATACAAAGGGAAGAGCCAGCAATTCAGGCTCCTCAGTTACAGTGCTGAAATAATAAACGATGACAGGTCAACAGTCTCCTTGAAATCTGCCTGAGTTTTCCTCTGCTTGGGGCTGGAATGGAGCCCCTCACCCTAGGGGCCAAAGCTAAGGGCACTTCAGCTTTTAAAAAGTCCACGTGGTTAGGAACCTTTGCTTATTTTATGGAGAAGGTAGAGTTCCAAATTCCTTCTGAAGCTTCAGTTCTGCATTCTCTAATGAGTGCAAAGGACATTCCAGGGTGTCTGCTGAGTTCAGGACAACTGGCCTGCCCAAGGTGTGCACAAAAAGTAGCCAGAAAGTCCCCTTTAAAATTCAAGCCTGAGTTTTTATGTGAGGGCCTCCTGCCCCCTGGTGTCCTCTGGGGATACTGCAGTACAATCCATCAAAACAGCCTGGGGTTTTGGCATCTGATATTCCTTGTGTCAAGTGGGAGGATCTGGCACCCTTAGGTGGGACCACTCCTGGCACAGTGTGGCCACTAAGGTCCAAGTATCCTGAGGGCTGGGGCCAGCACTCTCTGTTTCTCTGCTCCCCCACCACTGGGATCTTTATTCAGAAGCTCCCAGGAGTCGTATATTGAAGGCACCAAGGCTTACATTTTTAAAGAGAAGGCAAGCCTGCTGTGGATGTCAGCCCCACAGCAACTGTGTGCATGGGCCATAGCCAGAACAGACCAAAGGCTCTGTAGGTGCTACTCAAGAGGCCCAGGTCTCAGGCCATTGGGAGCAGGGTAGCACCATTCCACCCCCAGCCCTGCATGCAGGATCCAGCCATCAACTTTGGGGTGAACAGCAGAGCAATAAATGGGGGATGGAGCTGGGGCTTGAGCTCCTCTGAGTGTCTTCAGAAAGAAGCCACCAGGTTGAGGGCACTGGTTCTCTGGATGCAGGAGAGGCATGTTAGCTGAGGACATCAGCCAGTTCTTACCTTCTGACTCCCTCACCTACAAACACACCCAGTCTTTGGGGGCCTGTAGCACAGTGCGAGGTGGGTCACCAACAGGCATCAGGCTGGTGTAGTCATCAGGGGCTAGCTGCAGAAGGGACAGAGATTTAGAACAGGGATCTCTAGGCTCAGCCAGGTCCCCAAACCCTCTGGTCACACCTCACCTGGTAGGCCTGAAAAATGCTGAGCAGATCCTTCATACCAGCTATGTATGGGACACCCTGCATACGGACCAGGGCTCCTGGCTGGGATAACATTGAGGTAGGAGCAGAGGCCAGGGCAGCAGGGGACGTGGTGAGGTAGCCCACAGTGGTGGGGGAAACAGGGGGGCTAGGGTGGGAAAGGGAGGGTTTTAGTACAGTCCTACTAGTTGTCTAGACCAAGACCTTCCTCCCTCTTCCCTTGCCTCTGCCTTATGCTTAGTTCATTTCAGTTCCTTCTCCCTGAAACCCTGGCCTCTACATCATCTCCATTCTAGTTTGTAGATGGCATCAGCCAGCCCACACCTGTCACTCCCTTATTTCACAGACCTTGGGTTATCTGGCCCAGGAAGGGGATCATGACTCTCTTCCAAACCAGGACGGGGGCAAGTCTATGCATTTCTCTTAGCAGCAGGGTACCTGGGGTAGTAAGCTGTGTAGTTCATGTAGAGTTGAGTGGCTGGCCCTGGGTAGTAGGCAATGGGAGTGGGGGCAGCAGGCACCCTGGCAGCTGGGAGCAGAGCAGAAGAGGGATAGAGAGCTGCCGTCTCATTGGGAATGAGTGTTGGGGTGGCTTGGAAGGTGGCGTAGGCTGGTGGCGAGAGGCCTAGAGGCAGAAGTAGAGAGCACATCTGCAGGGAGCCTGGCATTGCCCTGGGTGGGGCAACCAGAAAGAAATCCCCACTTTAGACAGGTTATAACAGCCTGGCACCCATATGCCTCTTTCTTTCCCAGCCCTGGGACACTCACAGGGCAGTTTGCAGGGTGGAGGAGACATGCCACTGCGGCCCAAAGTGCCCCCCATCAGCACACGGCTCATTTCGTCTGTGGAGCAGGGAACCACTTCGACGTAGCGTTCCTTCATCACTTTTTTATGGCACCGCTGAGCAGCAGCTAAGGCCCGCTCTGCTGACGTCATCTGGATGAAGGCATCACCGGAGGGCCGGCCCTGTGCACACTCATCTTATAAGCAATCTATCCTGTTAACAAGTGTGCCTTACTCCCCGCTACATACTCCTTCCTATTATGTGTGTCTCCCTATGGCAGCAGCCTCACCTGCTGGTTAAGCACCATGTGTACACCATGGGGCCGGATGTCAGCTGCTGCCTCCCCCAGAAAGCTCAGGATGTCTTCAATGGTGGCTGTGTAGGGCAGGCCTCGAAGACGCACACAGTCTCTCCCAGTCCCAGCTACCAGTGGGAAGGGGATGGGCAGCAGTGGAGCAGTTAGTGTGGGAAGGAGTGGGCTGGATGCATAACGGTTAAGGACCTAGTAAGGAAGGCAGCAATAGGCTGGTCATGCCAAGAAGGGCAGGGACACGGGGAGGGGGAGGCGTGTGGAAGGGGCACCCTGGAGAAGCACATGGGGGTGGGGTATCCCTGGGTGCTCACCTGCTGCACCTCAGCTGCAGTGCTCCGGAAGAGTTCAATGTATCGCTTACCCAGCATGCCCTTGTGCCTGCGCAGTGCAGCCTGTGCCACCCCCTCACAGGCAAAGAGTGCAAAGGCATCACCAGTGGGCCGGCCGTCAGGGTGGCGCACAAAGAGCAGCCCATCAGCACCCCCAGTCACTGGGCACTCTGGCCCCAGGAAGTCTAGCACGTCTGCTGGCCCAGCCGAGAAGGGCAGTCCCCGCAATCGTAGGATCACTTGGTCTTCCCGTGACAGGAAACGAGCCACCTCTAGTGATGTACCTTGGTGGGAGTGGCATGGGAGTCAACTACTGACTTCATTCATACCCTTCTAACTACCCATCCACACCAGGCACATGGGAGCAGAAAGGCAAGGGGTGGTGGGGAAGTGGGACAACAGTCAAGAACCAGAAAGAGGTAGGGGCTGCTGGGGCACAACTCACCCCCTGCAATCTTTACAAACTCCTCTCCTGTTGCTTTATATACCTGTAGGTATAATGGGGACAGTCCATGGGTCTCAGGCCTGGCTGGTCTCAGCTCTGCTCTGCTCCACTCCTGGCCCAAAGCCCTACCTCAATATAGCGGATACCCATATGGTGCTTGTGTCTCTGCAATGCTAGGTCCCGGTGCTCGCTGTCCACAAAGCGGATAAGGGCCTCACCATTTCTGCGGCCCTGGGCATTGAGGCAGAGTGCTACACCACCCCTGTAGAGCCAGTGCTGTGTTAGTACCTCCTGCATAGGCCTGCCCTCCTGGGCCCACCCATCCTGCTGCACCCACCGGGCAATGTTGAGCCCTTTGAAGAAGCGAGCCACGTCCTGGTCTGATGACTGCCAGGGCAGCCCACGGGCCCGAACCACAGTCTCACTGTCCACCACATCGGCCTTGCTACTGTTGGGGGAAGTCCCAGGGTCAGAGCTGTCCAACTCTTGTCAGCCCCATCCCTACCCTGTACTCACCAAGGTCCGGTCTCATATTTCTGCTTTACCACCTCAGGCTTCGAAAATAATTGACCTGAGAAGAGATGGCATGGGGGTCAGCAGGGTCTGGTGGAGGGTATCTCACCACTAAACTATATAAAACGAGGACAATTGAAGAGGAGGTGACAAAGGGGCTTGCACCTTATGGTTTCTCAGAAAAGATAAGAACTAGGGAAGGGGACTTTAAGGAATTAACAGGCAGGCATTTACCCAGCCCTGAGAGAAAACAGGTGACAGGTGGTGAAAGGAACCTTACCACTGGGCCCTTCAAGCAGGTGGAGAATGACAGCTACCATTGTCTTCACTTCCCAGACCCCAAAGTCATCCTCTGTGGCATCTGTCTCCAGCCCCAACTCTATGAACAGAGAAATAAATAATAATGAGGAAATCCCAGCATGAGAGGCCCTGGGGCAACCAGTATGAGCACTATGACTGGTCTCACCTAGGTCCAAGTCCCCTACATAAACACATGTAGAATCCCAACAAGCACATTTGTTTTGGCCCTGCTCATGTATGCCCTTACAGATCCCCCAGTCCAGACATATGCAGACATATGTTCATGTTCCAAATGTGCCCCACCACAGACACAGAGAAGTGCACTTAAGGACTCAGCAGATAATGCCAATTGTATATGTTCATATAACCCACCAGCATGCATACTCAGATACATACAGCCTATCAATGCCCCTCCATTCTAACCCCTCTGAATCACAGGTACCCTGTGCCATGGTGGCCACGGTGAGGTCCCTGGCAAGGCGGGCGCTTGGGTGCTGCACATGGAACTCTCTGCGGAGGTCGTAGAAGGAGAAGAAGGTGTCGGGGAGTACCAGGTTCTGGGAGCACATGTGAGTAGGGATGAATAGACAAAACTGAGCTGCCCTGCCCACCTCCACAATAATGAATGGCCTGGGAACCCTGCCACATGTTATGGTTTCAGTGGCATACCTTCCTGGAGGCCTCAGGATGCAGGACCTGTCGCAGTAGCTGTTGCCCATCAGTGCAGAGCATGTAGGGGCCCCCGCCCAGCAGAGCCACATCCCCGATCACCAGCTGTGAGAACTAGAGAGAGAGAGAGAGACAGTGCAGGCATAAAGAAAGGGCACAGGCTGCAAAGCTGGTTCAGCCAGATGTTCAGCCCTACCCTGCTTGGGGAGTAGGTAGCCATGCCTGTTGGACCTGGCTTTGTGTTCCCATTCTTCCCCAGTCCACCATCACCTTCTCCAGGCCAACAGGGGGCAGTTACATATCACCCAAGCCCCCACTGCACACAGTCCAGGAGTCTGGAGTGGGGCCAGAGCAAACACCTGGTGGAGTGGGACAAGCAGGTGGGAAGGGGCGGGGCAAAGCAGGTTAAACCTGTCCCTGACCAGGCACCACCCTCAGACAGGTGGGAGAGGCCCAGTCCTGCCTGAGGGCCATTTGTCTCATGGTCAATGGCAGCCCCACCTCCAGGTCTGACCAACCAAGGGGGAGAGAAATTCCAAGGACAGAGCTCCACACCTGGACGCCAGGGGCAGCATGAGCTTTGACCCACACCCTATCGACCGGCTGGCCCTTAGCTGTTTGCTCATAGAGGGGGTGGCACTCCTGAAACTGCCCAGCCCCTCCCCCAGTCTCCATCCTGGCTGGAGAACAGGTATAAGCACTAAACACGGCCCCAAGAACCTCCCCCTGCCAACTCTTCACTGAGATTGGCAGAGCAAGGCAACCCAGCTCTCCTTCAGCACACTCCCCAAGTGGGGTTTAGCCTGAAAGTCCTTCTGGAACAGACTAGGTTCAAACATCTTTGTGCCTCCATTTCCTCATCAGGAACCACCAGAGTTGTTGGAAAATTAAAGAATTTGTACGTGTAAAGCACTTACACTCATACTCAATGGTCAGGCACGGGTTGAGCGCAGTAGTGAAGATCAAAAGGAAACAGCAATGGGAACAGCCTCCCACTTCAGCCAGGGTCAGGAGGCAACCATAGGCCTTTGCTCTCGGGAGGCAGGTAGCCTCCAGGCGGGGTCAGGACAGCGCCCACGCCTGGCCAGCCAGCTGGGGCAGGCCTAAACGGGCAGCTTACACCTGGCAGCGCCTGCCTATGGGGTAGACACCGCCCTACGCCCCCGCTCCAGCGTCTCCCAGGCCGGTGGGTGGGTCAAAGAAGTAGCAAGCGGCAGGTGACCTATGACCAAGCCCAGGCCCCTTGGCCCATTAGGCTTCCGGCTACTGTTCTGGGAGACCTGGCTGGGCAGGTTCCCAGAGGCGTCTCAGTCTCAGCCTCGCTCCCTCACTGGCCAGGGATTCTGGGAAGGGTCTTGCGGCCTCCATCCCCACCCCTCAATAGGGTGGATCTGGAAAGGCTGAGAAGACGCCCCCAGAAATGGCCGGCATTCACGGACACGGGCACACACGGGAGTCGATGAAAGTTTCAAACAACAGGAACCCGTCCTACTGCCCCGGCCAGTTAGTCGCGGCGCATCAGGCCTCGCCTCCTGCCGCTTCTTCCGCGGAGAAATGTTCCTGGGGTCCGGCAGTGTCTCCACCCAACCGGCCCAGGGCGCTCACCTGCTGCAGCACCTTGTCCAGCGGTTCGGCCCGCGCCAGGCTGTCGGCGCTCAGGCCACTCGCCTCGCGGCACTGCGGACTCAGTGCGGCCGCCTCGGCGCGAATCAGTGACTTGTGCAGCGTCCCCACCTGCGAGCCGCGGGGTAAACCGATCAACCACTGCGACCCTCGGATCGTGAAGATCTCTGGGGACCACACCACCCCCTTCCCACCCTACCTGGCGGCTCCTCGGCTCCACCACTTGCCACACTAGCAGGATTAAGTCGGTCTCATCGGAGCCCAGATCCGGCCCCAGTGCACCGGCCGTGGCCCCGAACAGTACGACCAGGGCTCCAGGCTCTGGGCGGGGGTCCGTGGCAGAGTCTGCGGCAGGGTTCGGGCCCGGGGGCGGTGGCTGGGGTGGCGCCGGAGTCATGGCCACAGAGGAAGGGGGCGCTGGGCCACACACACGCGGACCGACGAGGCGCACGCACTCACCGACCGACGGCAGGCGTGGATCAGCTTGGGCGGGACATCGTGTGTCGGGGCGGTACCTGCGGCCCGGCTGGCGCAGTGGGCGCTGCAGAGACCCGCCCGCAGCGCCCGGCAAGGCGGGGCGGCTACCGCCCCAGCCTTCTCTGGGCGAGTTACCTGTCGGCCCTACGGGCCACGTGACAGAGGGCGGCTCTGGGAGCGGTGAAGGGGAAGGCCGCTAGAACCTAGCCCTGGACGCGCGCGCTCACACGCCCCCGCCTGAGCGTGTTTAGGACCGAGACTCCCATTCCCCCAGCCGGCTGATTTCTGGGGCGACCTCCTTCTTTTTCTCCTCCACTACCCCACCATGAGGCCTCCGCCAAGAAAAGGGGCAAAACTAGAAGTTGTAGGGGTAGCAACGGCCGGTCTGGGGGTGACAGAAGTCACCAAAGGTCAAAGGGGCGGTTAGACTTACCGGGTATCACCCAAAGGCCTGTGGGGGGATCACCAGCGGTAGACTGGGGTTGGGGTTGGGGTGGGGTGTAATCCTGAGGTAGTTAGAGCCGTGGGGCAGGAGGGTGTCATTAGAAGTCACAGGGCAGATCTTGCCCATACAGGTGGGAAGGCCAGGCCTTAGCCTGGCTCCAGGAAGTGCCCGCGGTGCCAAAGTACGTTCGGAGGTGCGCAGGCCTCCGTGTTGCGTAAGGAGGAGGCACCCTCACCCTCCTTAGCTCCCGAGAGTGGCACTCTAGACCGGGCTAAGCCGGACGGTCTGGCCTGGAGCGTCACCCCTACCCCACGTGGGGACTCCAGTTTGTTTTTGTAGCCCTACCCCTTTGACGAGGGACCTGTTGCCTAAAGATGTGAATGTGCTGGTGGGTGGAGAACAGCGGCAAAAGTGTAATGTGCACGTGCGGACTGCAGAACCTCTTATCCGGGACCAACATCCCAATTCGGACAGCCCCGCATGGAGAGCTCCCAGTATCCTTTCGCCTCGTCGATCTTGGTGAGGCTCCTTTACGGCGAGTTTCCAGGTCGCCCGGGACTTCCCCCAATTTTCCCATGTATTGAGAAACTGAGTAAGAATCCGGCGGGAAGAAGGGACTCCAGGAACCAAGACAGGACGGAGCCTAAACTGAGGCGGGAGCCTCACCTCCTGATTTAGGAACAGCAGGGCGCTGCTTAAGGACCTTGGGACAGTGAAAGAGCCCGGGGTGGAGAGGGCCTCCGAGAACTTGCCCACTGAACCCACACTGCAGTGAGTCCCCACTCGAAGGATAAAGGCTGAGGAGCCTGGGTTGGAAGTGATTTGCACCGGGACACGGCGGCCTGCAGGAAGTGGGAAGTAGACAGTTCTTCCAGAGGCTTCCAGCGACCAGCATTTTTCCCTTGGGGTGTAGTGGTGTGTTCACGCGCGGCTGCCCCTCTGTGAACCGCCCACAGGGCCTGTCCGCTTGTTCCCACCCCCGAAACGCTAAGCCAATTAGGGCCGGGGGAGGGGGAAACAACGCTTTTGGAGCCTCGCCCCCCTCGAGATAAGTCTGGAATGTCAAATATTTGTTCACCAGGCTCAGCGCGGCAGCTAGGTAAGGCCCCTCCCCCACCCATCCTGGAGAGCGCATGCGCCAAGCGGAGTCAGGCCTTTTTCGCTTCTCTCCTTTATCCCAACAGCACCTCAGAGTCCCGGACTCCTAAAACGCCCTTGGCGTACATCGCTCCTTGTTGGCTCTTGTCCCGGCTGCTCCTACAGGGCAGAGCCCCGGCGCCCCCCGCGGGCCGTTCTGGAGCTGCTTGATCTCGGTCTCGCCCATCTTCGCGCCCCCATGCGTTCAGCCTCTAGACTGCGCTAGGCCTTTCCCTATTTTTCAGCGTGGGTCTCGATGCCGGTGCCTCCCACCCGAAGTGACTGACCTTTCTAGTATGGTATCTCTGGCAGTCCTGAGCGCATTCCCATTGGAGACGCCTTTACGCGTGTCCAAGTCCCTACTGGATAGTGAACCTGAGGCAAGGGACTGGCAGCTTGGGGCAGCTCCCTCAAACCCCTTGCTTCCGTCCCACCGCCCCCAGCCGCATGACAATTCCCGAGGCTTTTTCTCCTTGAAAACGAAATTCGTTAAAATAACCTAGGGCCCTGCTTTGTTGAGCTCTCTTACTCATCTTCTGATGGGTCCTCCCAAATCACGCCATTAACATTGAACAACCCGCACTCCTGTTCCCTATTCAGCTCTCACAACCAATACAATAAATCACTTACTGTTTCCCTGCTCCAGCCCCCACCCATGAGAACCCCAGATCCTTAAGGACAGGCTCATTCCCAGTGTCTATCACTGGGCCTGGGAGTAATGACAGTTGGCCCTCGCAAGTCGAGATTTGAATTTTTTCTTTTTTTAAAAAGTTTTTATTTATTATTTTTTTCCCCTTTATTCCCACACGACCCAACCAGGGCCGGGGACAAACTGTTGTGTGCCCTTAGCGGGAACCGAACCTAGGTCTCTCCAGACCGCAGGCCAACGCTCTAACCGCTGAGCCAAACTGGCCAGGGCCCTTTATTGAGAGAGAGAGGAAGGAAGAGAAGAGGGAAAGAGAGAGAGAAACATTGATGAGAGAGAACATTGATTGGCCGCCTCCTGCATGTCTCCCACAACCTGGGCATGTGTGATCTGCCCACAACCTGGGCATGTGTCCTGACCGGGAATCAAACTGGCAACCTCTTGGTGCAAGCTCAACCACTGACCCACACCGGCTGGACTCAAATTTTTTCTTTATTGGTTGTGGATCAGGTCCACAACCCCAGTATGTGCCCTGACCGGAAATCCAACCAGCGTCCTCTTGGTACATGGGTAGACGCTCATCCACTGAGCCACACCAGCTGGGCAATATACATATTTTTAAAATTCTAGTAAGTTGATCCCTAAACAATACAACAATTATTTACATATAATTTACCTTATATTAGGTACTATTAGTAATCTAGAGGTGATTTAAAGTGTAGGCCAGGCTAAGAGACATATGAAGAAATGCTCAACATCACTAATCATCAGAGAGATGCAAATTAAAACAACAATGAGGTATCACCTCACACCTGTCAGAATGGCTGCCATCAACAAATCATCAAACAACAAGTGTTGGCCAGAGTGTGGAGAAAAGGGGACTCTAGTACATTGCTAGTGGGAATGCAGACTGGTGCAGCCACTATGGAAAACAATATGGTGTTGCCTCAAAAAATTAAAAATTGAACTTCCATTTGACCCAGTGATCCCACTTCTAGGAATATACCCTAAGAAGCCTGAAACACCAATCAGAAAGAATATATGTACCCCCATGTTTGTAGCAGCACTATTTACAATAGCTAAGATCTGGAAACAGCCCAAGTGTCCATCAGTAGACGAATGGATAAAAAAGCAGTGGTACATATACACAATGGAGTACTACGCAGCGGTAAGAAAGAAAGATCTCTTATCCTTTGAGACTACATAGAGGGACCTGGAAAGTATTATCCTAAGCGAAACAAGCCAAACAGAGAAAGACAAGTTTCATATGATCTCACTTATTTGTGGAATATAATGAACATAACAGTCTGAGGAATGGGGTAGTCCCAGAGACGTGGATGTGGGGTACAGACTGACAATCCCCAGAAGAGGGGATGGGGGGGAGAGATAAACCACAGAACTTACATGCATGTATGCATGAACAATGGACATGTACAACAAAGCTGGGGACAGAGCAGGGAGGGAGAGGGAGGGGGGAATCAGTGGGGGGAAAAAGGAGAAATATCTGTAACAAAAATTAATTAATTAATTAATTAATTAAAAAAATAATAATAAAGTGTAGGCCAAACCCTGGCCCACTGTCTCAGTCTGTTGGAAGACTGGAAGCGTCCTCTGGTACCAAAAAGGTTGCGGATTCAATTCAGGTCAGGGCACATTGCGCAGGTTTTGGGTTCCATCCGCAGCGGGAGGCAACGGATTGGATCCATGTTTATGAGAGAGTTCGATGTTTCTCTCTTCCTCCCTCTAAAATCAATAAAAACGTGAGGATTTTTTTAAAGTGTAGGCCATGCAAATACTACACTATTTTTTACTTTTTTCTTCTTTTATTTGGTACGTGTCCCTAGTGGAACTGAACCCGGGAGGGACTCTGGTCCGCAGGCCGATGCTCCAACCGCTGAGCCAAACCAGCCAGGGCCTTTATTTACTTTTTAAAAATGTTTTCATTGGTTTTAGAGAGAGAAAGAGAGGAGAGAGAAATATCGATTGGCTGGCTGGGAATCAAACCCACAACCCGGGTATGTGCCCTGACCCAGGACTAACCAGTGATCTTTCAGTGCACAAGACGACGCTCAACCGAGATACACTGGCTAGGGCTACTACAACATTTTATATAAGGGACTTGAGCATCCAGAGAATTTTGGTATGGGGCCTGGGAGGAGTGACATCCTGGAACCAATCCCCTCAAGATATTTAGGGAACATTATAGTTGCTCATGGCTTAATGAATGAATGGTTGGCTTGCTTTGTCTACCTTTAGGTATTCCAGGGATAGTCACCTTCCCTGGGCACAGGGCCTTTGCATTAGTAGTCTCATCTGCCATTTTTACTTCCCTAACAACTCGCCCTTGCCCCGGTTAACAGTGCTCTTCCTCCAGATTTTCCCCTCTCCAGGCATCTTCCTCCTTAGCAGATCCCTACAGTAGTTTGAAATGTCAGTATTTCACTGATAAGTCCCCCATTCCACCCCACTAGAATTCACAAATTATGAATGAATGAATCAGAGATAAGGTGTGCGAGAAGGGTGAATGAGGCTCCAACGATCCTGCCAGATGCCTTTCCCAAATCGCACTCCAGGTATTTGGGAGAAAGGAACTTGTTCCTGCCAGCTGGGCCTCGCTTGCGGAATCACATCCTCGCCTCTTCCCCTCACCTCTTCGTGGCAGGACTCGCCCTTCGATTCCTGCCACGAAGGCAGCGGGGGCTCCAGCCGCTTGTACGGGCAGATACCAGGTTGGGGATCCTCACCTGGGACCGAGAGTGTGGGAGTTCTCCTGGACCTCCAGGGAGCCTAGGAGTGGTTTAACCCCCCTTCTCCCTCCCTCCCGCGCCAAGAAATACCAAGCTGTGGGAGAGGATTCAATGTTGGATGATTGCTGGTGTACTCCGCAGCGATCCATACTCGCTGTCCCAAGCCCATTCCAACCCCCAGCTGGATCAGCCACCCTTCCTTATCTCCCGGACTTCCAGAATAGCAAAAGCGCTGGGCTGCCCCTGAGTTCCCATCTCTGCCCTTTTGCCGACGCTGAGTACCCACCAGAGGGCGCACTGACACTGTCGCCTGAACCAGGTGTTAGGTTCAGGGAAGAGGAGCATGCACTGGAGGGCTCTACTTATGGTGAAAAGGGAAGGCGCTTGACACCAGCCCCCAGGCCGCTTCCCTCAGGCTTGAGACTCTTCGGGACTCCTGATTCTCTGGACGTAGGCCACATTTTTTCTTTTTTTGTGTGTGTGTTTTTCACATTTTTTTTTTTTAATCTGAGAGAGAGAGAGAGAGAGAAACATCGACGTGAACAAGATACCTGCACGACCCAAGCAGGGCCGGGGACAAACTGCGGCCGGGGACAAACTGTAACCGAGGTACATGCCCTTAGCGGGAACCGAACCCTGTGTCTCTCTGTACTGCAGGCTGATGCTCTTACCACTGAGCCAAACCGGCCAGGGCTAGGCCACATTTTTTCTTGCCTCCCCCCCCTTCCCCCTACACTTTTAAGCCTGGTTTTCAGGGTCCTCAAACTCTCAGTTCCACTGTCACCTACCATGTGCTCCAGACACACTGCTGTGATTGTTAAGGTCTCTAGGCTGCTGTACATGCTAAACTCCCTGCTAGAGCACCCTTTGTTTTCTTGTCAAACTCCTACTTATTCTTCAAGATCCATCTCTAATTCTTACTCCAGGCAGCCTTCCTTGATTCCTAGGCCAGATTAGATGCCCTGTTCTAGGCCCCTTTCCATCAGGGTTCTGTCATAATTGGATCAGTGTTGGCTTCTCATGACTAGAGGAAGGCTCTGGCAGCAGAGGGATAGGAGCTAGCTGAGCCATGAGCTTTAGGAGAATAAGCTGCCTTCCAAATGGGCTCAGTTCTGGCTACCAAACCAGTTCAGAAACCCTGGTCTTGGTTGGGTTACCCCAAGCCCAGACTCCCACCTGGTTCAGGCAGGGGAGTTTGCAGCTTGGGCAAGGGAGAGGGAATGCAAAGGGACCAATAATAACACAGGAGGGCAGCCCGGCCAGTGTGGCTCAGTGGTTGAGTGTATACCCATGCACCAGGAGGTCGCCGGTTCAATTCCCCATCAGGGCACATGCCCAGTGGGGGGCATGTGTGAGGGGGAAGCCAATCGATGTTCAAGGGGGTCAGGGGGGCAGCCAATCGAGCAGTTCTCTCTCATAGATGTTTCTATCTCTCCCTCTCCCTTTCTCTCTCTCTAAAATCAATTAAAAAAATATATAAATAAATAAAATAACACAGGAGGGGTAAAGGCTGTTGGCTGGACTTTCACCTGAGGAAGACACCACAACTGGCCTGGCTCCTTAGTCTCTGGGTTTATTCTTACACCTGGCCTTTACCCAGAATGTTCCCCTTCACAGGAACATCCTCCCCCTTTCCTAGTCTTTACCAGAACTCACATCTAGCCCTGAGGACCTATCAGTCCCTTATCTCCTTCTCTAGATCTGACAGGCACCAGGACCCTATACTGGAAGGGTTGTAGAGAAGGGGGCATATTACTTATTCATTCAACATATGTTAAACACCGGCTGTGTGCCAGGGATCATGCTGATGGTAATTAGTAACGCAGGAGGCCACAGTAATAACACAGGTGATGATGGGCCTGCTCTTTCAGTGAGTGTGTGTGTGTGTATATTTTAATCCTCACCTGAGGATATTTTTCCATTCATCTTCAGATAGAGTGGGAGGAAGAGAGAGAGAAACATCGACATGAGAGGGACATATCAACTGGTTGCCTCCTGTTTGACCCTGACCAGGTACACAACCAAGGTACGTGTCCTTGGCCAGAATTGAACCTGCGACTCATTGGTCCGCAGGCCAACACTCTACTGCTGAGCGAAACTGGCTAGGGCCAGATTTTATATTTTAATGGGAGTCAGTCAGAGGCTGCTTCAAAGTCAATGGTCATGTCTGAGCTGAAGCCTAAATACAGAGTTCAGTTGAGTCCCCAAAAGTGGAAGCTGCAGACTGGGCCCAGTGCAACAAGTACAGAAGTCCTGAGGGAGAATGAGATTGTCCTGTCTAAGCAGCAAGGAAGCCATTGAGGCTGGAGATGAGAGAGCTGCTAGAGTGGAAATTGGGGAAGACCGCCAGAGTACACTGCAGGGTCCTCTCTCACTATGATGTATGCATGTAATTGGAGGGTCATGAGTGGGATTAGGCAGACAGTGATGGGGCCTGACAATGTTTAATGGTGTCAACCTGGCATATGGAGAACAATTCACAGCAATAAGGGCATGATAAATGGGGGCATCAGAAGGCTGCTATGGGGATGAGGGGAGTCTGGCTTTGGGAGTGTAGAGCTGGGGAGACTTGATGACCACCTGGTTGTAGGCCTGAGAGCCAGGGTGATATCTAGAGTCCAGATTGACTCTAGGTCTGCAGCCATCATGTGGATGGTTGGGTCATGTGAAATGGGAGACCCTCGACTTCTGACTCCTCTCCACTGTGCCAGCATGGGTCATTGCTGACCAAACCTTGGCACCCTTCCCTCAATGGCCATGATTCCTATTACCTTCAGGGCCTAAGGGAGTGGAACACCTTGGGAACTGCTTCCCAGGACAGAGCCACTCTGAATCTCTGTCACCTGAGGCTGTTGGGCTGACAAGACATTCCTGCTGCCAGAGTCCAAAGTGGCCCAAGCTGTCATTTTCCCTATTCTCTTCCCCCACTTAACCCTTGGCTTTTGATCTCCTGCCTGTCCCTAGCCCTGCCTGAATGGTCTCCATGGTCTCCCACACTACATCTGCCAGATCCATCCTTAGGGACTCCTCACCTGGGATGGAAGTGAGGGAGGCAGGGGTGGTTTTTTGGGGGCGGGGGGGGGGGGTAAGGGGCATTCTTGGGCTAGGGCCTGAGGTGGGAGATAGATGGACCTTAAAGGAGGAGGTTACCTCATCTACCAATGCATTTCCCTGTAAGAAAACAGGAGGGGCAGGTCAAGATGGTGAGTAGATTAATTGAGGGGCACTGGGAGAGACTGGAAAGGGTCAGCCACTGACCAAGGAGGGAGGAAGGGAGGGATAGGAGGGATAGAGGTCTTGAGATCAGCTGACCTAGGGTGTGACTAACCCTTGAGAGGGAGTGTGTGGAGGATCAATACCTCCAGTCTGCAAAGACGTGGTCCCCCTCTCCCAGAGCGATGCATGGTGCTGGTATATTACCGGCTGTCAAGTCTCTGCCCACTCTGTTCACCCCCATTCCTCGCGCAGGGAGTCTGTGTCCTCTCTTGATCCCCGTGTTTGCGTATGCAAACCGCTCTGCGGGGGAACTTGCCTATGGGCTTGGCGCAGATTCAAGACTCAAGGCCACTCTCAGCTCTTGCCCGCGAACTGCTCTGTCAGGGTGACTCCATACTCCGCGCCCGTAAAAAGGGAGGACATACATTTCACTCAGAAACAAAATATGCTGACTTGGTCTGTCTCCGTCCCATCCTGACGTTGGGGCAGACAGCAGAGGGTCGTCGGCCTGGGCGTGAGTTTGCCTAATAACCCAAATGCTCTCTGGGCAGGGTATGAAGAAATGATGTGGGGATTGCACAAAGGTCCTGGTCAGCTCTGGTCTACTAAGGACCAAAAACTGCCTGGGGCTTACTTTCCTTCTTCCCCTTGCTTTGACCGGAGTCGGTCAGCAGCCGCGAACACTGGACCATGAATCGTCACTCAGCCCGGCCCGTTCCAGATTCCAGGTCAGGTAGGCGCCAGGAATCGGGGGTGAGGGCTGCGCGGCGTAAAGTTGGAATTCGGAGGGCTGAGCTGTGTACCCAGCAGTGGCTTGCTGGGTCGGGCGAGAACGTGGAAGCCAGACTGAGCCTGGATCGATCGATGCGCTCGGCTCGCCGTGCTGTCAGGGGAACTTAGTCCGGGATGAGCAGGAGCAGGATGGCCAGCTCCGACTGGGCGAGACACGCTGGAGGCGAGTCCCTATTGGTAGGCCGTTTGCGGGAGGTGGGCCCTGATTGGCCCGGACGCTGTAGAGGCGGTGGGCGGCGGGGTTAAGCGCGTCGCCGCGCCCAGGCCTAGGCGCAAGCCCGGAGCTCTGAATCCGCACCAGGGACTTGAACCCTCTGTCCCACGCCATGGGTCCCTACCTCTGCCCCCACCGCGCAGCCCTGCACCCGGGTGGCCTCCTGTTCCTCCTGCTACTCTCAGACCCGGCGCTTTCGACCGGACGTCACCCCCCGGTGATCCTGGGTGAGGCACGCGTCCAATCGTGGATTGGTTCGCTCATGCGTGGGGCAGGACAGAGTGCAAGGGTCAGGGGGAATGGCTTCCCGGTTTGCATCTGCTCTAAGCACGAGGCAGAGGAGCATATAACTGTCTTGTCACTCACTTGGGTTGGTCCGTCCACCTCCGGCCATACTGGTCGTGGGTGTGGTCAACCTCTCTGTCACCTTCCCCTGTAGAATATGGGGGTAAGTAGGCGGGTTACCGTGCGGTTGTCCATCGGTCGGCCTGTCCATGTCAGCCCCAAACCTTGCCTCCCTTTAGCCCCATTTTTTAGCTGGAAAGACTGAGGCCCTTTGGCCCCACTCCTGAGTGCTGGTTTTGGGGTAAAGTGGCCTCAGAGTTGGCCCCCAGGGATCTTAGGGTTTATTTGGGCTTGGCCAGTAGGCTGTCTCCCTCGACCCGTTCAGCCCCACACATTTCAGAGAGCATTACTGAAAAGAAGCTCATTGGAGAAAGTATTGCTGTTTTACCCTGCCACCAAGGCTCCCCCTAAACTTTTCAAATGGGTAGCAGCATTGGGTCCGAGGTAGGAGGCCCTACAGAACTGAGGATGGCTATAGACAGAGGTAAAAGGTGGGACAGTGGCTATGAACAGATGTCATGCCTGTACTCTTATCCTTCCAGACCTACTTGGACTAACCTATGTTGGGATTAGGTGACCTCTCCTGCTTACCCCCTTCTTGGTCCTGACCCCTGACAACTGTACAGGAGTCACAGTGTTTCCTTGGGGTGTTGGACAGGGATGAGATTTCTGTCTGGGGGCCTAGGATGCCTAATGCAGGCTGTCACTCCCAGAGCTAGTTTGTTGGTGACCAACCAGGACTCCTGAAGGCAGAGCTATGCTGAGGCATATATTTTATACTGAGTCTGCATGGCCCCCATGTGGTTTTTGCTGGGACTATTTTAATGGGGATGATACAAATCACAGAAGGGTAAAGGTTAGCAGATAGTTTGGTTCCAAGGGGTCCCCCACCAGGAGTTCTGGGCCAGGAAATGTCCATCAGAGCGATGCTGGGCCCAGGTTAACCATGGGAATTGGGCAGACTTGGCTCTGCCATCCTTAAGCTTGCAGGATGATCGCCAGAGATGAGGTCTGTGCTGGGCAAGCATAGAGAATCCACTGACCCAGTCAGTGAAGGCTTCCTGGAGTATGCAGCTGGAGCTGTGGCCAGGAGAGTTCCAGGCAGAGGCAACTACATATCAGAGGGAGGTATTCCAGGCTGTCTGGAATGGAGTGGTTGTGGGTAGGGGTGGGGTGGATTGTGCAGGCTTGTGACTGGTTGGATCATTTGGACTTTATCTTGGGAGCCCACTGGGAACCATGGGTGGGCCTAAGGAGTTCTGAGTAAAAGGGTGCGGCATTAGGAATTGTGTGGTCCATGAAAGGCATGCAGCCTTTTCTCCTGGGTTGGTGCTAACTCATTAAGTAATTCAATTCTTGGTTATCCTAAGTCAGAGCAGAGGAGCCTTGGTCCCCACCCAGAGTCACAGAGCAACTAGAATCTTAACCTGCCCAGAAAATGAGGCTGTTGGCATTAATCCTAGGAAACCCCATAGCTGGCAGTGGACAAGCTGTTCCTAGTCACAGATCAGTGATCCAAGGGTGACCAGCCTTTATGAGTAGGACTCAAACTGATGGTAGAGGAAGCAGAGGCCAGAGAAGTGACACAGAAGACTGTGGGCAGGGGGAAGGGCCTGTAGTGAGTTATTTCTACCTCTCCCAGACTCAGTCTCCTCATCTGTAAAGTGGCTGTAATAAGGATGTTCTCTCCCAGTGTTATTTGAAGTGAAAGGTACATGGATAGCTTTTGTCCTTGTTCTAGGCACAAGGGCTCAGGAAGTGACTACTGCTATTTTTAGAGGCCACATAGCCTGGCCAGGCTGAAAGGCATCCAGGCAGAGCAGCTTCCTCTTTCAGCCATTTCCTTTGGTGGAGACAATGACCAAGGTCTCTATATTCCACTGCCCAGTCCATAGGCATGCCATTCAGAACCTTTTATGCTGGGGACTCCCCACTTCTGCACCCACATCATGAAAGGAGGTGAAGGCAGGTGCTACAACTGCCTCCCGTGGCTGCCCCGAGGACACTGTGAGATGGTGCACAGGGAGGGCATGCCCTCTGCAGGGCTGGGTTCACAGTCTGAGCCCAGTGAATGCCAAGGAGAGCCAAAGGCTGGTTGTTCACCTAGGGATCATGGATCTTTAATAGGATGAATATGAGAGGTGTTGTGAGCATGGCATGTGGGAATAGGTGAAGCCTGAAAGGTCACTAGAAGTAATAAACTCTAAAAGGCCTTGAATATTGCCCTGGCTGGGTTGCTCAGTTGGTTGGACTCCCCACCAAAAGGTTGCAGGTTCAATTCCTGGCCAGGACAGATACCTAGGTTGCAGGTTTGATCCCTCGTCAGGGTGAGTAGAGGAGGCAACCAATTGATGTCTCTGTCTCTCTCTCTCTCTCTCTCTCCCCCCCTCTTCTTCTCCCTCTCTTCCACTCTCCCTTTCTCTATCTCTAAAATCAATAAACATGTCCTCAGGTGAGGATTAAAAAAAATAAATAAAATTAATAAATAAACGCCCTGGCCAGTTTGGCTCAGTGGTTGGAGCGTTGGCCTGCGGACCAGAGAGTCCTGGGTTCGGTTCCTGCTAGGGGCATGTACCAAAAAAAAAAAAAAAATTAATAAAAGGCCTTGAATATTGGGCAGTGAGGCAATGGGAATAGATTTGAGTGTCACAAGACCCCCCCAGGGCTTTTTGTAGATTCAATAGGCCAGTTTAGGTAGAGAGAAGTTAACCTTTAGTCATAGTCTCTCCCACTCTGCACTGGGCTATGGCCAGAATGGTGTGTTGTTTCAGAGTAATCTTCTCCAATTCTTGGTCCAGCTGTGCCCAGATGGTAGGACCTCCAGATGATCTGTCCTCTGGAACCTTACTGGACTCTGGCCTTTAGCAAAGCCTAGGCACCTTGGCCGGTCAGCACATACCAATATGAGTTTCTTTCAATTGTGTTTCTGTTCATTGCCTTCCTTCACAAGCCTGTCTTGGAGTGCTTTCACTTTTGGCTGGTTAAGTGGCACAATGCTCTGTCCTGTTTCCCACTGCAGTCAGAGTGAACAAAGTCCTGCCCACTATAGCCTGGGATGGTAGAAGGCCTTTGGATTCAAGCCCTGAGGGTCTCCAGCCTGTCAGACCTAGGGCCTCATACCTGTTATATACCCCACTACAGTGCCTGGTGACTTGGGCAACCAGCTGGAGGCAAAGCTGGACAAGCCGAAAGTTGTACACTACCTGTGCTCCAAGAAAACGGACAGCTACTTCACACTCTGGCTGAACCTTGAACTGCTGCTGCCTGTCATCATTGACTGCTGGATCGACAATATCAGGTGGGAGCTGGGGCACAGACCAGGTGCTGCTTACCAACTCAATCTAAAGAGGCCTCTAGAGTCCATTTCCATCTCATCCCAACTTTAAGAGACCTTAAGGTTACTGACCTTTCTCAGTCTGCTTGGCATCACCGTTGCACTCTCCCAGACAGAACTTTCTTCTCTTTCCCTCTACTCTTGTTCCTACCCTCTCGAGGTCACACCTTGTGCTTTGAGCCCTACCTGTGGTTTTTATGCTCCATCCTCTGTTCATAGTCTCAACATGGCCCTTACCCCTTCCCTTGCCTCTGGGTTGGTCATACCTGCCCCTCCAGCTGCTTTGATCTCCTTGGATACCATGTCTCCAGGCCTTTGCAGATGCTGTTCTTTCAGCCTGGAATCTACCTTTACACCCTTTGCCTGATAAATTAGCCCCACCCCCATTCACCTTTTAAATCTTGAGGAGGTCCATGCCACTCTCTAGACCTGTTAATCTCTCCTCCCCTCATGCCACATGCCTGTTTTCTCTAAGCCTCATAAAACTTTGTTTCTAAGGATGTTTCCCAGTAAGAATTACTGTTTATTGCTACAGACACTGTACATTTTACATACTTTCTTTAGTCTTATAGCAACTCTATGAAAGAGGTGCTATTTACAAACCTCTTCTATAGTATAGAACATCTAGAATCTCAGATCATTTACAAAATTGTTTGCTAATTAGGGGCAGAAACAGGATTCAAACCCAGAAGTGTATGACCATGAGCTAAGTTTTCCCTCTCAGACTGAGCTCCCTGAAGACAGGGACTGTATCTCTTTTGTTTGTTTGTTTTTTATCCTCACCCAAGGACATTTTTCCATTTTTGTTCAGAGTAGGAGGGAGAGAGAGGGAGAGAGAGAGAGAGAGAGAGAGAGAGAGAGAGAGAGAGAGAGAGAGAGAGAAACATCGATGTGAAAGGGACACGTCGAGTGGCCTCCTCCTGCACGACCCCAATCAGGGCCGGGGACGAACCGCAACTGTGGTACGTGCCCTGACCGGAATCGAACCGGTGACTAATTGGTCCATGGGCTGACACTCTAACTGCTGGGCCAAACCAGCCAGGGCTCTCTTTTATCTTTATAGTGGTAAAACCTGGAACACAGCTGGTGCTCAATAAACGTTTGAGCTGAATGGAATCTAACAAATTAAAATTTTTTTCCTGAAGATGCACTAGATGTCTCTCCAGGCACCCTACCCTTCCCCAGTGTTTAAGATGCCTGCTTTTTTTTTTTGGTTTTGTTTTGTTTTTTTAATCCTCACCTGAGGACATTTTTTCATTTTTTGTTCAGATAGAGTGGGAGGGAGAGAGAGAGAGAAACATCGACATGAAAGGGACACAGAGTGGCTGCCACCCGCACAACCAACCAGGGCCAGGGACAACTGCAACCGAAGTACATGCCCTTAGCGGGAGCTGAACCTGGGTCTCTCTGGACCACAGGCCAATGCTCTAACTGCTGAGCCAAACCAGCCAGGGCTAAGATGCCTACTTTGTTGACTCTTTTCTCCTCTGTGTGTGTTCGTCATCTGAGTCATTTCTGGGCTGTTGATCTGCCTTTCTATTTTTGTACCAGAGACATGGTCTCAGTTACTGCCAACTGCAGGTGCAGGCTGACACCGAGAGGGGACAGTCTGCCTTCATTACTCCTCTGAGCTGTTTAGACTTTCATCCAACACAGAGCTGCATTGGCTTTCCAGAGCAATTTTCTGCACTTTGCTGAGTGGCCATTGGGATAATCTGTAGATTGCCCTTGAGACAGTAGGCCACCAGGACCTGTTATTTGGGCCAGTGTTGGGAATCCTGTCAACTTTCTTTTTTAAATTTTTTTTCTTTTTCTGTATTGATTTTTAGAGAAAAAGGAAGGGAGAGGGAGAGAGAGATGGAAACATCGATGAGAGAGAACATCTATTGGCCGCCTCCCCACTGGGGACTTGGCCCATAACATGAGCATGTGCCCAGGCCAGGAATCGAACTGGCGACCTCTTGGTGCATGGGTTGACACTCAACCACTGAGCCACACTGACCGGGCCCTGTCCCCTGTCAGCTTTCTGTAGCTAATCTTTTTTTTTTGTGGTATGTGCCCCTAGTGGGAGCCGAACCCAGGACTCTCTGGTCCGCAGGCCGATGCTCAACCACTGAGCCAAACTGGCTAGGGCTCTGTAGCTAATCTTTAAGGTGGGTTGGGACTCGGGACTACCAGGGACTGCTTGTCTACCTTGTGTTTTTTTCAGGCACATTGTCTGTCCTCTTTGGTATTGGGGGGGCCAGAGCAGGGTTCCTGGTTTAACATAAGGCTTTCCTCCTGTCTCCCACCACCCTTTCCCCATCATTTCTCCAGGCCTAGTCTGTCCCCCCACACAGTAGCCACTGAAGTAGGGGGGTCTCACTGGTTCTGTTGTGTGTTGCTCTCACCATCTTCTTTGCCCTGTGACGTATTGTGGTGGGTGACAGGAGCTGTATCCGTATAGATGGAACAATGGGAATCTGCGAAGTTAGGCTGCCTTTTGAGGTCAAGTGTGATATTCATGGCAGAGCCAGGCCTGGTGCTGCTTACCTTTCCCAAACATATCTAAGACCTACATTCTGGAGTGGATGACATTGAGAAGGGTTCTGGGGTTTGTCCTTTTTTTTTTAAATTGATTTGAGAGAGAGAGAAAAAAATATCGATTTGTTGTTCCACTTATTTATGCATCCAGTTGATTCTTGTATGTGCCCTGACTGAGGATTGAACCCACAACCTTGGTGTATCGGGATGACGCTTTAACCAAATGCTACCCAGCCAGGGCTTAGGGGTCAGTCTTTAAAGTGAGCCTTGGAGGGGGTCCTTACTCTGATCGTTGCTTTATAACTTTGCTTTTTTACGTTGGGGAGAAACAAACTTTTCTCTACTCTCAAGGTTCTTTTGGCTGATCTAATATCAAATAGACATGAGACAGATTAGCAAGAGAAAATAACCAAATTTAATATATATGTATGTATGGGAACCCCCACATGCAAGAGAGGTTCAGAGACAGAAAGAGAATATGGGTATATGAGACATTCTGAGCTGGGGTTGAAGTAAGGTGCCCTTGGAGGCTTCAGTGGGTCATTACAGAAGGATAAAAGCAGCCTGGCTGGGGTGGCCCAGTGATTGAGCATCAACCCATGCACCAAGAGGTCTCTGGTTTGATTCCCGCTAAGAGCACATGATCAGGTTGTGGGCCTGATCCCTAGTGGGGGGCATGCAGGAGGCTGCCAGGTGATGTTCATTCTCATTGATGTTTCTATCTCCCTCTCCCTTTCTTTCTCTCTAAAATAAATAAAGAAAAAAAAGTTTTTTTTTTTTAAATGAGCTAGTGTTTAGTAAATAGAAATTTGCCCTACTATATACTGGTAGGTTAAAAAGAGATTAGTGTTGATAATCTCTTATTATGGGCATCACCCCTAATTCAAGTTTTAGGTAGTTAAAGGAAGGGGCAGAAGTTTCTCTTGAGCCTGAAGCTAAAATTTTCTTTAGTTCAAAACAATCTACAGAAGCAATCTCTGGTGACTAGCTCTGAACCCCCACAGTTACTTTTTGGTCTCCCCTATAAAATTGACCAAACCTGAGGATGAGAAGGGAGTGTGGCTTAGGACATAGGGCAGTATTTGGACCCAAATTCAATGCCAACTCTGATTTTTTTTTTTTTTTTTTTATCCTCACCCGAGGACATTTTTCCATTTTTTGTACAGACAGAGTGGGAGGGAGAGAGAGGAAGAGAGAGAGTGAGAAACATCGACGTGAAGGGACACATCGAGTGGCTGCCACCCGCACGACCAACCAGGGCCGGGGACAAACTGCAACCAAGATACATGCCCTTAGCGGGAACCGAACCCGGTCTCTCCGGACCGCAGGCGGGCGCTCTAACCGCTGAGCCAAACCAGCCAGGGCCATTTTTCCTTTTTTGTTCTGGTAGAGTGGGAGGGAGAGACAGGAACAGAGAGAGAGAGAGAAACATCGATGTGAAAGGGACACATCGAGTGGCTGCCACCCGCACGACCAACCAGGGCCGGGGACAAACTGCAACCGAGGTATGCGCCCTTAGCAACCGAACCCGGGTCTCTCGGGACTGCAGGTCGACGCTCTAACCACTGAGCCAAACTGGCCAGGGCTTGATTTTTTTTTTTTTTTATCCTCAATGCCAACTCTGAGTCACCCGCTCAGTATCCCCTCCTGACAGGCTGGTCTACAACAGGACGTCCCGGGCTACCCAGTTTCCTGATGGTGTGGATGTGCATGTCCCTGGTTTTGGGAAGACTTTTTCACTGGAGTTCCTGGACCCCAGCAAAAGCAGTGTGGGTATGTAGCCCTGCTCATGCTCTCCAGGGAATGGGGCTGGAGGTTTTGCTGGACTCTTAGAGTGGGAGGAACAGCTTGGTTTGAAGGGGTAGCCTGTGAACTGTTGGGTTTTTTTCTTAATCCTTACCAGAGGATATTTTTCCATTGATGTTCAGATGGAGTGGGAGGGTTGAGAGGGAGAGAGAGAGAAACATCGTGTGAGAGAGACACATGGATTGGTTACCTCCTACACAACCCTGACCAGGGCTGGGGATTAAACCATAATCAAGGTACGTGCCCTTGACCAGAATCCAACCCAAGACTCTTTGGTTTATGAGCTGACACTCTAACCTCTGAGCCAAACTGGCCAGGGCTGTGAACTGTTTTTGATTAGTGTGGGCAGAGATCACTCCTTCAGGGACCTCCCTGCAGTAGATGTCACAGTCTTCTTGGCAGGCATGGTATAGGTGGCTGGCACTGGCAGTACCCTTTCTAATCCTATGCATTTCTATGTATAGGTTCCTATTTCCACACCATGGTGGAGAGCCTTGTGAGCTGGGGCTACACACGGGGTGAGGACATCCGCGGGGCCCCTTATGACTGGCGCCGAGCCCCAAGTAAGTGACCACCCTCATTTTCTCCCTGATGTTGGGGGAGGTGGGGATGAGGAGGCTACAGCCACATAGGCCCTGGGCTCTCCCCTAGTCCTGGTCAATCTATCCTGTCCTTCCCTATCCCTTACCCCAGAATTTATGGGTCTCTGAACCCTGGACAGGGATAGTGAGTCTGAAGAGGGGAAAAGGAGCCCTTTTGTTTCCTACTTTCATTGAATTTGAAGGGAAACCAGACCACTCCGACTAGGATTTTAGCATTCTCTCCACCCACCTAGTCCTGGGTTTGACCTGAGAAACAGTGGTTCAGGCCCCAGGCCCTTTCCTGCCTGACTCCTGCCTGGCTCTGGCCTACAGATGAAAATGGGCCCTATTTCCTGGCCCTCCAGGAGATGATCGAGGAGATGCACCAGCTGTATGGGGGCCCTGTGGTGCTGGTTGCCCACAGTATGGGCAACATGTACACGCTCTACTTTCTGCAGCAGCAGCCACAGGCCTGGAAGGACAAGTATATCCGTGCCTTCGTGGCACTGGGTGCTCCCTGGGGGGGCGTAGCCAAGACCCTGCGCGTCCTGGCCTCAGGTAAGACCCTGCCTGGCCCAGCAAGTGGGGCTAATGTTGGGGGTGGCACCCTCTCTTTCCCTCTATAGTGTCCTCTTGGGGAACCCTTCTTTCCCCAGAATGGTATTCTTTTCCAAATAATATCACCTCTCTAGTTGATGACGCTTGTTATCTGTAAGTTTCTTACAGCATGTACATGGACATAACTCTTGGTCATGTAGGTACTTTCTTATGCACATGTGTACACACACTGTGCTCAGGCCTGGCTGGCCTAAGTAGGTTTGGCCCAGAGTTCTTTGGGTGAACCTTCGACTTCTCTCCTATTCCCATCCTCACTTTTTCATCCCCACTTTTGCCCCAGAGAAGAAAGGCTAGACCAGTTTCCTGTTTATGAGTTACACCTTCATGTGTAGCAGTGTGGAACCTCTGTGAGCAACACAAGGAGAAGCAGGTGCAGAACTGTTTGAGCCTGTTTGCTAGGCATTTGGGAAAGTCACCTTTTCCTCCATTCCATTTCTCCCCAATCTACCTGCATTTTCTTTTCTTTTCAAAAAATATTGATATTTTTAGAGAGAGAGGAAGGGAGAGGAAGAAAGAGAAAGAAACATCAGTGAGAGAGAAACATGGCTCAGCTGCCTCCTGCATGGTCTCTACCAGGGATCAAGCCCACAACTCGGGCATGTTCCCTGACCAGGAATTGAAACAGCAACCTTTCAGTGCACAGGATGACTCCCAACCAGCTGAGCCACACCAGCCAGGACCACCTACATTTTCATGACTGTCAGAACCTGACAACTGCAGACATAGGGCTTTCCTCCCTCTGCTAGGACTAGGTGTGAGCCCCATGTCCCCTCACTTTATTTATTTATTTATTAATTATCCTCACTCGAGGACATTTTTGCATTTATCTTTGGATAGAGCGGGAGGGAGAGAGGGATAGAAACATTGATGTGAGAGAGACACGTCGACTGGTTGCCACCCACACAACCCCAATTGGGCGGGGGACAAACTGCAGCTGAGGTACGTGCCCTTATCGGGAACTGAACCTGGGGCTCTTTGGTCTGCGGGCCGATGCTCTAACCGCTGAGCCAAACCGGCCAGGGCTCTTTATTGATTATAGAGAGAGGAAGGGAGAGGGAGAGAGAGATAGAAATATCAATGAGAGAAAACATTGATTGGCCGCCTCCTGCATGCCCCTTCTGGGGATTTGGCCCACAATCTGAGAATGTGCCCTGACTGGGAATTGAACCAGCAGCCTCTTGGTGCATGGTTCGATGCTCAACCACTGAGCCACACCAGCCAATGAACTTTCTTCCTCAAGTCACCAACACTGCTTGACCTGCTTGTTGGTCAACTGATTGTTATGATCAGGTCAACTGATTGTTATGATCAGGTCAGATCCAGTGCCTGTCCCAGTATTGACCCTGGATTGGCTGGGCCGCTCCCCATGTGTTCCCTTAGACTGAAGGGGTGGGGAATCTCTTTTCTGCCAAGGACCATTTGGATATTTATAACATCATTCACAGACCATACAAAATTATCAACTTAAAAATTAGCCTGCTGTCCGGTTGGTGTGGCCCAGTGGTCGAGCATCGACCCATGTACCAAGAGGTTACCGGTTCGATTCCCTGTCAAGACACATGCCCAGGTTGTTGGCTCGATCCCCAGTGAGGGGCATGCAGGAGGTGGCCAATCGATGTTCTCTCTCATCAATGTTTCTCTCTCTCCCTCTCACTTCCTCTCTCTAAAATCGATAAAGGAAAAAAAAATTATCCTGTTATATTTGGTGAGGCTAATTTGGTGAAGTGTGTGATGTTAGCTGGTATTGATTTCACTGGCCTTATACAGCCCATGGGCCAAATGTTCCCCACCCCTGCCTTAGAGCTTTGCCTCAGATGCTGGGAAAATGTTCTTTCAGGCCCTGGCAGTCTAGGAGCAGGGTTGGGATGGGAGGGGTGGTAGTCATGGTACCCTGGGTAGGGGCTTCCCTTTTCTCAGGTGTCTTAGAACCAGGCCCCACCAGGCAGAGCTGTGGTTCTGTGGTCAGTCAGAGAGGTAGAGTGATGAGTGGCCACCAGTCCTGAACAGGGTCAGAGGCTCCTGTTCCCAAGTTCCAACTCACCCTCTAGAAGTTTCACTGGCTGGTTGGTGTTTGTATTGTTGGTATTCCTGTGTGAGAAGGACTCTTGCTCTAGTTTGCAAATTTCCCTCCTGCCTGTGGGCCTGGCTGCCCAGGTCAGTGACAGGCAGGTGGCTGGTATGAAACCAGGACTGGCTGGCTGCAGGTCTAAGCCTAGAAAAAGAAAAATATTTTCATAGCTCAATGTAATAAAAAAAGAGGATGTACCTCTGGGCTGATAACCTGTTGATTCACCTTTGATAAGGTCAGTGCTCACAGACCCAGTGATAAATCATCCTGTGGGTGTGTGCTGCCAAAATCTCTGGTGACGAAATGCAGAAGGAAAGAAACAAGTCTTGGTTGGGTGCTTACCAGATGTAGCAAAAATAAAGGGAAACAATAAATGGTAATGCAGGCATAGGAGTTATAATGATAAAACAGTATAGAGATGCTGGTTTGCTGACTGGGCCACTGGTTGGGGTCCAGCAGGGGCCTGGTGGTGAACATGCTGCCCAGCCGGCTTGTATTCCTGAGCACAGATTGACTAGAGCCCTCTCCCTGCAGGGGACAACAACCGGATCCCAGTCATTAGTCCCCTGAAGATCCGGGAGCAGCAGAGGTCTGCTGTCTCTACCAGCTGGCTGCTGCCCTACAACTATACCTGGTCACCTGACAAGGTCTTTGTACGCACACCTACAACCAACTACACGTTGCGTGACTATCGACGATTCTTCCAGGACATTGGCTTCGAAGACGGCTGGCTCATGCGGCAGGACACAGAGGGGCTGGTTGAAGCCATGATGCCACCTGGCGTGCAGATGCACTGCCTCTATGGCACTGGTGTTCCCACGCCAGACTCCTTCTACTATGAGAGCTTCCCAGACCGTGACCCTAAAATCTACTTTGGTGATGGAGATGGCACTGTGAACTTGCAGAGTGCCCTGCAGTGCCAGACCTGGCGTAACCATCAGGAACACCAGGTATCACTGCAGGCGCTGCCAGGCAGTGAGCACATTGAGATGCTGGCCAATGCCACTACCCTGGCCTATCTGAAATGCGTGCTCCTTGGGCCCTGATTCCTGTGCCAGGCAGGGCTATGGGATGGCTCAGCCACAGCTGTTTCTCTTGTCCTTCAGGGCTGCTGTGGCCCACAAATTTAGCAGTTTGTGAACTGACCTTCCAAGGCCATAGGTCTTGGGTTGTGAAACATCTGCCTTCAGGAAGTGCCATTTCTTAAACTTTCTCTGGGAGTGAGGAAGGAAGAAATAGTCTAGACTCACTCAAGGGACTCTTAATGGAAAGACTGCTGCTGCTGATGGAATCATTGTGACCTCAGGACTGGCTCCACAGGTGGATTGGCTGGCACCTGGATTAATCCCCAACTAGGGGCCATGTGTTCCTTCTACTCCTGTGGGCATTTCACATTTTCCCACCAGGCCCTGGCCCCTCAGACTTCCTGTGGGGAATATGACTGAGCTGTGGTCTCTGTCCCGAAAGATTCCAGGGATGGGCTCCTGGTCCCTAGGGTGATCCTTCCCACACACTGGCCACAGGTACAGCTGCTACTGGCCACGGGTGGCTGGAGCTGCTGGCTTTTCTTTGGCCTAGCTGTTCAACAGCTTAACTGTGGCTTTCTCGGGGCAGCCCAGTTCCCCCTGCAGGCAGGGATGGGTTGTGTTTTCTGTAGTTTCCAGGCCCTGGGGCATTCACTCCTACCTCCCTCACCTCCAAGAATAGCCTAACTCAGGATTGGGCAGGAGATGGCCCCTCAGTTCTGCAGGCTGTGTCCCAGGAGCTCTGATTCCCTTGGTTGGGCTATTGCCCACAGTATTGATGCTGGCTCCTTTCACCCTGGAACTATGGTTCAAGGATGAGAGCAGTACCCAGTGCCATAGCCTTTTAGACCTTGATGAAGAAAGAGAACTCAAGAGCAGGCCAAGGCGACTCAGAGCTTCCCTGAACTGCCTTCTTCTTAACCCCACCACCATATTGTCATCCTGCTGTAGGGTTTCTCTGGCACCCAAGTGGGCTGGCATAGGGCTGAGAGGAGGTTGGGCTCCTGCCCACCCTGCTCAGTACCTACCTCTACCAGGCAGCTCAGTGGTGTTTAATCTGCAGGGACTAACTCAGAAACTTGAGTGGGCCCCTATGAGAGCCAGGTGCCTTGGAGCTCCACTGTGGGTTTTCTGTCTGCCTCAGAGATGCTTCATGGGTCTTCCTATAATAGCAGGGCTGGAGAGTCTGTATCTGCCTTGGCAGCAGTGGTCTCCAAGTAGGTGACAGCTATAGGCCAAGACTTGGTTCTAGCCTCTAGGGTGAGGCCCCAAAGCCACAGTTAGGCTGGACTGTACTGCTCTCCCACAAAGTTTCTGTGGAGCCAGATTTTCTCTGTTGTGTACATACCCAGCATCTGTCTCTCCCTTTGTTCCTGAGTGGTGGGCCCCATATCGGGCTCTGGGCAGGCTGTATTTTGATTCTGGCAATAAATGTATTCTGGATGCTGTAAAGTGCCCTGGCCTAGGCTCTACTCTGAACATGAGAGGAGGGAGCTAGTGGTGGGGTAAGGGGGATAGAGAGGCAGGTAATCAGGGGCTAGATATTTCTTGGGGCCTTGATGGGTTCTCTCAGCACCAAAGTGTGGTTCCTAAGCACCACTTTGGGTTTCATTCTCCTGCCCTCTCCTGCAAATCTAATTCCCCTTCTGGGACTAAGAACCAGGACCTGAAACATTCCTTTCGGAATGCAGCTCTTTCCCCTGCCTGGTTAGCAGGCTTCACATGCCACCCCAGATCTGGGTACCAGAGACAATACTGCAGGTCACACTGGCTAGACTCCCTTTCCTAGCTTCCTCTTTTCTCTTAGATTGCAGGTCTCAGCATCCAGAACCTAGAGTTCTTTGTAGAATGCCACCCTTCTATTTTGTTTCAGCTCATCTGCCCACCATCTCTCCTGCTTTGGGGACAGTGAGACAGAAAGAAAGAAACACTTGGCTGACACTAGTAAGGACAGAGGCCAAGATGTGCAGAGATGGACTGAGAGACTGGGGACCAAGTGGAGACAAACACAGAGAGTCTGATAAAGGGGAGAATGCATAGAGATGGGGTCCAGGTCTGAATTCTCTCATGTAGAGCCCAGAGCCAGCCAGCCACAGGCTGGAGTGGTGGGAGCTCCCGTTCCTGTCTGCAAGACAGGACCAGCCTGGGCTTCAGGCTTTAATACATCCTATGGCCCACTAGAGGGCGCTCTGAACCCTCTCACTGCACTAGTTATTGGCCAAGCCTGGAAGAAGTGTTGGCCCAGAGAAGGTGAGGATGCCAGAGATGCAAAGGTCTAGCTGCATTGCCAGCTTTGGTAAAAGGATGACAACATGAAAGGGAGCAAACCCTCACCACCAGGCCCTGCTCAGCCTGACTCCTAGCTCTGCCCTGATACCCACCCATCCATGCCACACCCTTATGGTGGCCTTGCACACCCATTCACCCCTGACCCATTTCAGCAGAACTGCCACACTTTGTTTCACAGTTTCAGAGAGGGAATGGAGTCAGAGCAGGCTTCAGGACCAGCAGACTGGGGTTCAACTCTGAGCTCTGCCAGCTCCAGCCAAGTAGACTGTGGAGTCACTTTGTTACCGGATAGGGACTGCCCCAGTATGGGTTCTTGACTTCATGCAGGAAAGATTTCACAACATGAGTCCATGTGATTTTGAGAGTATGTTATTAAAGCTGGGGACAGTGAGCCCTGGCCGATGGTTCAATTAGTTGGAGCATCGTCCTTGTACCAAAAGGCAGTGGGTTCGATCCCTGGTTGGTGCACATGTAGGAGGCTACCAATCGATGTTTCTCCTTACATTGATGTTTTCTCTCTCTTCCTCTCAAATCAATACAAATAAAAAATATAAAGCCGAGGACAGTGAAACAAAGAAGGGCTTAGTTAGGATAGAAGAAGCAACAGGAGAGAAACTAGGTGGGGCTGCTTTGGCTCTCTAGAAAAGTTATAAGAAAGAAGTGAGTCAAGGCGGGGCTGATGTCAGTTCACTGGAGAGGCAGAGAAAAGGGGGCCTTAGAAACAGGTTCAAGCCCTGGCTGGTTTGGTCCAGCAGTTAGAGCGTTGGCCTGCGGACCAATGAGTTGAGGGTTTAATTCCAGTCGGGCACGTACCTCAGTTGCAATTTGCCCCCAGTCCTGGTTGGGGTAATGTGAGAGGCAGCCACTCAATGTGTCCCTTTCACGTCTATGTTTCTCTCTCTCCCTCCCACTCTATCTGAACAAAAATGGAAAAAAATCCTCGGGTGAGGATTAAAAAAAAAAAAGAAACAGGTTCAAGGGGTTAGCATGGGACAAGCTACTGCTGCCCATTCCCTGCCAGTTGCAAGTCTCGTGGGGTCCCTTAGAGTTTAGGAGATGCATGTGGGTGTGCTCTTGGGAAGGAGAGTGGGTGCTATTCCTTAGGCTTGAGGGTTTTAAAGGCTAGGAGTTTAGGGGAGGTCTTAGGGAAGGATCTCAATAGAATAGTCATCAGCTTTTCTAGGTGTATAGCTTTAGGGTCATGGCCTCCACTTATTGGTCAGCACCAAGGCAGGGGGTCATTAGTTATCGAAGCGGATCCTGGTTGTCACCCACCTGGTTTTTCTGCTTTTCTGGGCCTAGATCTGAAATACAACTGAGGCCTAGATGTTATCTCTAGGGAGGATAGGTCATGGGGGTCTAAACTACATGGCCAGTGATATGTTAGGAGAGGAAAGGCCACACTGGGGGCCAGATCCGGCACCAGTTTTACCTGTTGCTAGGCACTAAAGGCTTTCTGCCCTGGTGACCTCTATCTGGCTGTAAATTGCTTAGCCAGTTTGTTCACCTGTCTGTCTCAGTTTCCCCATTCCACTTGCCAAGGAATTCTCCTAGCTTCTTACTATCCTGGCTCATTCTGACATCCCTGAGCCTCAGGTTGCTTATCTGAAGAATGGGGACAAATAGATATACCCTGCAGGGTAGTCCTGAGGAACACTGACGGTGTTGGAGGACATTCGATTCAGTACTTGGTGCATAGTGGGCTTTCAGCTGGTGGGCTGCTCTAACTGGGTGTGAGACAGCCAAGCCAGAGGCCTGTGAGACAGCCTAGTAAGCCAGGACAAATGGAATAGGGAAACTGAGACAGATAGTTAAATGGCCAAGAAGTTTACAGCCATGTAGTAAATCTCAAAGTCCTGTCTTCCCTAACCAAGGACACTTAGGAGTCAGTAGTTTACACTTCTCCCCCAACCAGTGTGTAAATAGCTTAAATCACCCCACTCAGGGAGATGGAAATTCAACTAGTGACATTTGTGCCAACTACACCCAAGGACAAATGAAGTTAAGGGAATAAATCTTTCTCTCTCTTTTGTTTTTTAATCCTCACCTGAGGACATTTTTCCATTTATTGTTCAGATAGAGTGGGAGGGAGAGAGAGTAAGAGAGAGAGAGAGAAACATCCATGTGAAAGGGACACATCGAGTGGCTGCCTCCCACACGACCCAACCAGGGCTGGGGACAAACTGCAACCGAGGTACGTGCCCTTAGCGGGAACCGAACCCAGGTCTCTCTGGACCACAGGCCGACGCTCTAACCACTGAGAAAAACTGGCCAGGGCTAAATCCCATTTTTGGTGCATCAGTATAAAGCTGATGAATATTTGCCCAACCGGTGTGGGTCAGCAGTTGAGCGTCAACCCATGCACCCAGAAGTCGCCAGTTCGATTCCTGGCCAGGGCACATGCCCAGGTTGTGGGCCAAGTCCCCGCAGAAGGGCATGCAGGAGACAGCCATTCGATGTTGTCTTTCATTGATGTTTCTATCTCTCTCTCCCTCTTCTTTCCTCTCTCTCTCAAATCAATAAAGAAAAAAAATTAAAAATAAAAAGCTGATGAACATTCTGTTGAGGTCCTTCCCTAAGACCTCCCCTAAATTCTCAGCCTTTTAAACCCTCAAGACAAGGACCCAGGGTGCATT